TACTTAAACCCCAAACGTATATAAGGAAGGACCAGAGTAGAGGAGTAAGACAGTGTTAGGTAGGTAGATGGATAATGATCACTCGTCCTCGAAAACCACAGGGATTGGAGAGTAAGGAAAGGCAGCCCACCCAGAGTGGACGCTGAACTAAGAGGGAGGAAATGACAAGCTTCCATCACGGGAGCAGACAGTGTCAGCCACGGCTTCCCTGGGGAAGCCCCCTCCCAGTTTAAATAACCGCAGATACGGTTCAAGGCAAGCACTGGCCACTACTAAAAAGGGAGACTGTGAAGCAAGCCCAAGAATAGCTAAAAGGGAGAGACTGTCACGACTGATTTAAACACTAAAACCAACTATATACTACCTCCAAGAAGCACACATTAAAAACAGGATGGAAGTAATTGGATGTGGGAAGACACACCATGTGGACAGCAATCTACCAGCTAAAGAGCCTGGGGGCGACGTTGCCAGAGATGCGGGTTCACCAGGGAGATAAAATCACAGCTCTGTATCAGCAGTGCCGAGGGCCAAGCTACAGGGCTGCACATTTGACGACACTGATTATTACAACAACCAAAGCAGTAAATTTGTAAATGAGCTAAACAGAACTCAACAGCCATGACCCAAGCTGCACCTCCTGGGCACTGTTCTCCAGCTGCAGACCGCACCGTCTTCAACAAGAGAGCATGCGGTGTTTTTATTAGGAAGACTGTGTCCCGCAGAGCAAGTCTTACTATATTTTAAATTATCCAGACAACATTCACCAGGGTGGAATTAAGTTCAGATTTTATAGAGCATTTTAGAAACCTGCAAATATTCAGGAATTAAGCATCTAATAAAGAAGAATTAATCTGAATTGGAGCTGGTGAGATAGTTCAAGTCTGTAGAGTACTTGCTATGCAAACTTGGAGATATGGCTTCCGTCCCCGTGCGCGTGGGAAAATTGGCATGTAACTGCTCAAGGGAGGTGGGGAAAGATGGGTCCCTGGGACCAACTGGCCAGACTTCAACCCCAAACTGACCTTCAAGCTGTGCAGGAGTAAAGACAGAGGCAGCCAGAGCAGAGACCAAGGGAATGCCTACCAGTGCCTGCTCCAACCCAAGACCCACCCCATCAGAGAGGGCCAACCCCTGACACTATGGATGATACTCTGCTAAGCTTGTAGACAGGAGCCTGTCAGAATTGTCCTCTGAGAGGCCCTACCTAGCAGCGCCTCAAAACAGATGCCGAAACTCACAGCCAAACACTGGGCAATGCCTAGGGAGTCTTGTGGAAAAGTGAAAGAGAAAAGGACCTGGGGGTGACAGGAGCTCCACAAGAAGACCAACAGAGCCAACTAACCAGGGCCCAGGGGGGCTTGCTGAGACTGAATCATGTATGAACTGGACCTCCGCTCCCTACAAAGACGTAGCAGATGGGCAGCTTAGGCTTTATGTGGGTCCTCTAGTAAGGGATGTGGGGACTGCATTGGACAAGGAGTCATTTGCCAGCTTTTTGATCACTTCCCCCTGGCGGGACTGTCTTGCCAGGCCACAGGGTAAAGGACACACTCAGTCTTGATGCAACTTGATGAACTGGGGTGCATGGGAAAGGGAGCTCCCCTTTTCTGAGGAATAGGTGAGGGGGGAGGAGTGTTGGAGAAAGGAAGGGTGGGACTGGGAAGGGAGGAGGGATGGGGCTACAACGAGGATATAAAGTAAATTTACAAAATAAAAGAAAAAACTCCTAGGTCCAATTGTTGGGTAGTTTCACGAATAGCTGGTCAGGGAGACCTCCGAGGCCCATAAGATAATACAAGCTCTTGGCATCTGTATTAGTTTGGGTTTCCATTGCTGTGAAGAAACAGCATGGCCAAGGCAGCAAAACATTTAACTGGGGCTGGCTTACAGTTTCAGAGGTTCAGTCTACTATCATCATGGCAAGAAGCATGGCAGTGTGCAGGCAGACGTGGTGCTGGAGGAGCAGAGATTTTTATCTTGACCGGAAGGCAGCAGTAGAAGACTGTCATCCGCAGGCAGCCATGCGGAGGCTCTTTCCACACTGGGCAGAGCATGAGCAGAGGAAACCTCAGAGCCCAACCCCACAGTGACACACTTCCTCCAACAAGGCCATGCCTCCTCCAAGGCCACACCTCCTGGTAGTGCCCCGCCCCGTGGGCCAAGCATTCAAACACATGAGTCGATGGGAGCCAAATCTATTCAAACCACCACACCAACCCTCATTGCAGCGGTCCAGCAGAACTATTTGGTAAGACCCTGTTGCAACCTTTGGTTGCAAAAACTACAGAAATCAAGCCAAACCTGCATTGGAACTTGCTCTCTGCCAGCTAGCTTTCTTATTACTGATCTGCTAAAGGAGAAAAAGCATCAAGACCTTACCCAGCTGCTAACTCTATAAACCAATCCTAACCTGGCAGGTGACCTATGCCCACTCGTGCAACGGTGGCATGGCTGCTATGGGGTTTGCCAACTGTTCTATGATTGGATTTGAGTCTTCCGCCATGGGAGAAAAAAACCTATGCCTGGTACTGTAAAACTGGTCAAAAATGTGGCTGGGGAGTCAGAGGCCCTAGCAGGTAACTTACTACGGGTGTTTAGTTCGGCTGACATAGTATCACACTGCCTTCTAAAGATCTACACTTGGCCCCATAGACAAATGCTGCCAGCCTTCATTGGAAGCCTCTCCCTATGAATGATGCCGAGTACAGACACATCAAGGTGCTAAGAATAAGTGACAGTACAGGGCTCCAAGACATTTATACTAACTCCTCTTAAGGCTCAGAGGACATGCCAGAAGAGGGGGGAAAAGAATGTAAGAGCCAGAACACAGGGAGAAGGGCTACAAAATGATACAGCCATTGTAGCCATGAACTCAGCACCTAGTTACCTGTACTGGCCTGCACAAGACTGGCTATGGCCATCATCAGCCACGGATGGGGGAGGGACTCATGAGACCCTACTCCTCTCTGTTAAACTACTGGCTACTCTACAAGGGGAGTTACTGTATTCAGTTGTGTACCCACTGGTTAGCCCACACATTCGCATGGTCACACAGACAGCCCTGGTTAAGCTCAGCTGGGTCACAGAAGAAAACAAGGCATGGGGGCGTGAAGGGAGATTGACAAGAGTGAGAGGGAAAGGAGAGGATGGCGGAGAAGTGATGTATGAAGGTGTCGGTAAACCAATTTAATAAGAAAAGCAGCATGCTGGAGTTTAAACGATGCTTACCACCACTAGTCACCAGGAAATGTGGTCTGAACTTCGAACCCAAGACGGGCAGCACCACAGGCTGCTGAGCGCGGGGAACTGAACACCGCTCCGCATCACCGCAGGTACAAAAATGCAGGGACCGCTTCGGAGAAAGGTCTCCCAGATTCCCAGGAAACTGTACAATGTGTATCACCCAAAGACTCCACTCACAGACACTCACTGCAGAGAGAAAGGCGGATCCAGGAGAGCACCTGCTCACCGGTGCTCACGAAAGCTTTCTTTACAATAGCGGCACTCAGGGAAACAGACGTCCTTGAACTCCAGGCAATCCTCCTGCCTCAGGAGTACTTGGACAACAGGTCTGCACCATCACACCTGGCTCACTTGTCACTGAAATGCTCAAATGACTGATTTCAAGAGAGCTATCCTCCTTTTCCACCTTTCCTGCTACCTCCCCCAGCAGGTCTGAAGCCCACTCTACAAATGTCCCCAGGGTCATTCAATGCCTGGGTACTGTGGATGCAATCCAGCTCAATCTACCTGTCCTCTTCCCCCAATTAGCCATCGGTTCGCCTGTCACACATTCTTCCAACTCTCCCACCAATGGCTTCCTTGGTGCTGTCCTCCCTAGATGCTCCTCCTTCAGTGGGTGAAGTAGGGCATCAGAACACACAGGCCACCGTCAGCCACCAGGTACTTCTCAGGAGGAGGCAGTCCAAGGGCATCTGCAGCAACTAAGCAAGGCCTTGACACTTGAAACACACGTACAGCCAAGCAGTTTGCTTTCTTTCCGTCAATCACATTTGTTCGTGGGGACCAGAGTGGTCTTTACGACTTAGCAAAACCCTGCAGGTGGCTATCACCCGGCCAGTGCTGTGGGCAGCACAGTCTGAGCACACATACTCCACTGCAGAGCCCAGAGCCCTACCTCACCGTGCATATCCAGCTCCAGCACTCTGGATTCCACAGGTGGGTCTGAGGCGGAACTAACCAGAAACTCTAAACGGGCACACTCTGTGCGCAGTGTGATTTTTCTGCCTCCTTCACCCTCCGTATCCTGGGCAGGAAGTAACAAGAACTACGGCAGGAGGCCCACATCGGCACACACAGCTGGCCCCACCAGGGGGACACTTTTAGGTCCTATCAGCCTTAGAGGTCAGTGCCCTGGGCTCCCACCTTCAGAGCCAGAAGAGGGCCTGCTGTTCCAGGCCCTCCTGGGTTTCCATCTTCCATCTGTCCCCGCCACAGCCCAGGACAGCTACGCTGTCAACGTAGGCACAAATCCTGCACAAATGCAGACACCAAAGGCCTGTGTTCTGATGTGGCAGTGACTCCTAGAGGCCATTCCTGCAGGTCAGCACAGGACTCCAGAGCACATTTTAAAAAGCTGATAGGAGGAGCCAGAGATGGCTCTGTGGTTAAGAGACTTGTCACTCTTGTGAACACTGGACTTCAGTTACCAGTACAGCTGTACCGAATGCCAGCTGCGGATCTGATACCATCTTTTGGCCTCAGCAAAAGATGAGCACACATGTGCTTACACACGAACATGGCCACACACACATGCACACAATAAAAATAAAATCTTTTTTAAAAATGTCCATAGTAACAGGTTAGCTAGTGTACAAAATAAAACACCGGGCTCACACCAGTCCAGCTCCCCTTACCACTCCTGGCCAAAGCTGAAGTGCTCCCATCTGGCCATACAGAAGCCACTGAAACCCAGGCAGGCACCCAGACACAGGGAACTCTTCCGTCCTTGTTGAGAAGAACAAAGCACCCCAAACAGCTTGAGTTAAAGTCTCCATTTATTTTGTTTTTTACAAAAATCCAACGTAAGACCTTTGTGCTCATGGTTTGAAAGGGGCAGACAGATGGACAAATTATGTTCCCAGAGCCACCGCGGGCAGCCCCACCCTCCTGCTCCATGTTCACTAACAAGGCCACCCCAGACAGGAGCACTATAGGTGGGCCACTGGTTAGAGGCAACCTGGGGGGAGGGGGCTGTCACTCTGTGGGTGGCCCTTGACCTCAAGATAAAGAGCAACAGGAAAACAAAGCTGTCCTGGCCCTGGGAGCTGAGACTAGGTAGCTGGGTGTGACCTCTGTTAGGAGTCTGTATGAGGAGGTAACCGATGGTGAGCAGCAGCAAACACCAGGCAGGCTCCCGCATCCGCAGTGGGGCGATCATTTCCAAGCAAGACCCCTAGAACCCCAAGTCAAATCAACAGCAGGGTCCCACTGCTCTGCCTCTGACAGACCCTCGGTACACAGGACTTGCTGCTGGGGCTGTTCAGTTAGTCTTCCCACCAGGCCCAGGGATGCCACCCCCCACAGCACGCTCTGACATCACTATCCCTCAGACACATTTGGATGACACCCATGAGTAACCATAGCTTTCACAGTGCCCTACAAAAGTGGTCCTGCCATAGAGACTGACTTTCTCAGCGGGTACCACAGCATCAATTTACAAGTTCTCACATTGAAAGAAACAAGACAGATAGGGTTGGGGCTTGTGGCAGAGCGATTGTCGGGATGCCCACCCACAGCTCTGACTTCCATCCCCAATACTGGGAAGGAAAAAAAAAAAAAAAGATAAAATAGCAGCCACATATTTAGCGCAAAACACCACACTCTTTGGCTCCCCTGAGGGAAGAGGGCTACTGCTACAAGGAATAGTGAGAGGACAGAGAGTTGGGGTAAGGAGTCTAGACCCCTTTGCTGAGTTGCCAAGAACCAAATGTCCCAGGCAGCCCTAGGTGTCAGGTTAAAGAAGATGCCAGTGGAAGCTCTGCAGCAGCCTGGTCCTGCCGGCCCAAGGGTGGCCCTACGGAAGGAGGGTCCTACAGAGAAGTGAGCACAGCAGGCAGGAGAGGGCCCCAGCAGCAGCACACATCAGGGCCTAGGAAGACGGAACTGGCTTAAGGCAGGAGCATGACCAGGACAGCCCTGAGCTCTGGCTCGGCAGCTGGAGACACTCGGTTCCACCTAACCACTCGGGGTGGGGAGGCAGGCCACAGGCTGAATCCCTGACCAGCGCTGTCTACCGGTGCCACCACACCCAAAATTAGCGTATTTCACTTTCAGCCCTTCCAGCAAAACCATAAACAGCGAATGGACAGTGGTAATGTGGGAGCGAAAGCCTGGTAACTTCCAAGACCGGCCCAGAACTCACCCAGCAAATCCCACCTCCAGCTTCTAGCACACCCCAGACCTTGAAGGGGAGGGCTTCCTACAGCCAATACAGAATCGGGGGTCTAAAACGGCGTAACACAGGATGGAAGTCCAGACAGACGCAGGGAAGTGAATTTCACCCAGGCGTTCATTCCAAGGCACGTGCCTTGCAGTAAGACTCTGGAATCCTCAAAGGAAATGGGCTGGTCTACAGCACACAAGCTCCCAGCCAGCCTGCAAATCTCCTGTTGTCTCCTGAGAGAAACAAGCACTACAGGAACCGGCCACCAGTGCCCCGCACCAGTGTCCCCGGGAGGGTGGGCAGTACAGGGGTCACCCCTGCCTCACTGTTTGCTTCCTCATTCCAGCTCCAACACAAGAGGAAGTGGAGGACATCAATAAGCCAGTGACACCTTGGTGCTGCCTGGTTCCAATCCCTGAAGCCTCCGAACATGCCAGTCCCCACTGAGCAGCCTCCAGCAGAAGCTGAGTGAGCATCACTGGGGCGGCGGAATGGGGCCAGAGTACATCAGCAGACCTTGCCTAGGCCAAGTTCATCCGGCTTCTCCTGCAGCCAGTGCCACTGGGGGGTGGGGTGCGCCTGACAGTCCAGGTAACAGGGCCAGGACCCTCTCCCACTAAATACATAGCCAGGTGGGTCCCTCCCTGGGAGAGATTGGCAGAAATTTCGGGTGCACCCTCAGCCCACCAAGTACATATGTATGTATGCATGTATGTATGTATATATGTGTGTTGTGTGTGTGCATATATATGTATATACACGTGTGTGTGTACATATACGCACACAGATAAATAAGCCTTGAATGGCAGATGTGAAACTTCCTCTTTAAATAATAATAGCTGTTACTAAATTTAAAAACCACAAACCAGCCGTCCTGGGCTTGTGAACTAGTGACTCACCAGAGTCCTCACAGTCCTCAGTGTTCACTATCGGTCAGTGCCCTGTGCAGAAGCCCTGAGTCTGCTGACCAGGATCCCAGAACCAGTGTGGCTGACTTCAAAATAAAGACAGCTACCCCTATCCACTTTCCCTGCGGCCTCCAGCAAAGGGTCTGGGCCCTGCCCCACAGATGTCCCCAAGGTCCTTCAACACCTGGGAACTTTGGGAGCGACTCCCCCACTCTGCTCATTGTCTCCTCCAAACCGGCCAGGCCCTAGATGAACTTGAAGCACTTGGTCTTGTCGTGGGGCAGGCGGGTCTTGAAGAGCACAGAGTCCACCCTGAACTGTGTGTACAAGAGGGGCATGTAACCATACACCTTGACGAAGAAGTTGATGCACTTGTGCCGCTCGTGAAAGTGAGAGTCATCGTGCGACAGGGCCTGGGGGCACCCTGGGCATCGGAAAGTCCACCTGGACGTCACCTGGAAGGGGGAGAATAAGAGCAGCATGAGCACACAGCATGACTGCTGACAGGGTCTTACGGTGCGGCCAAGCCAATGCCGTGTCCAGGGAGGCTGCCATGTCCTGTGTGGCTACTTCCACCCAAGCCAGCATGTATGAATCCAGAACATTCACGGGAGTCTTTTCCAAGTCACCACTCTTAACAGACAGCAAGTCTGAGCACACCCAGTGTTACCAGCCTGAACAAGTATTTATCTTGGCGGCACAGTAAGACGTTGGTATGCAGTTGTTTGTTTCATCTATGTTTTCACAGTAAAATACTAGAAAACTAGCCAATTACATAGCCATTAAAAAAGATGTTTGAGAAATTTACATTTAAAGCATAAGAAAACGGCAAGACTATTATTAAGATTTTCAGCAATTAGAAAAATGTAACATGATGGTGTTGTCACAAGTAGCCAACCATTAATCCAGGAAACCCTCTACAAGTTTGGCTGGAGACCTGAGCCTGAGACCCTGCGGGAGGGGACCTGGGTGGAGGAGGCAGACAAAGGCGACAGAAGTTTTCTTCTCGAGCTCATCCCTAAGGCAGAGGGGAACGGCACACCTCTAGTCATGTTTGAGGATGTCTTGTGTGGGACTGAGATAGGAATTCAAGTCCCGTGTGTGTCTGCACACCCCAAGATGATCATGAAGCCTAAACTGGTCTCAAGCAGGCACTGGCCCCAGCAACAGGAAGAAAGGCAAAGCCCTTTGCAGCACTGCAACCAGTAAGAAACAGGAGTGAGAGCAGGGGAAAGCCCTGCAGAAAGCAAAGACAGGAGTGTGCAGAGCAGCAGGATGAGGGTTGGCTGTGACCCCTGTTTATGTTCATGAGGAACTTTCCAAAGGTACTCAGAAACTGTACAGACATTCAACCTATAAGCGTGAAGAGAAAAATCAGCAAGGGAAGGGCACTGAAATTAGAATCCAGAATGGGAAATACTGACAAAAAGACAGAATTATGAAAGCAAGATGATTAAGAGACATGGAGAAAGATATAAGGTCATTTGTGGAAGTTTGAAATAGGCAACCCTGGTCCTGGAACAGAAACAGGACAGGCTACGGCTCAGGACAGAAGTGTTAGGTCCCTACCTGTTGCAGGGTGTGGCTGGCACACCTTGTCCTCTAGCTAGGGGCAGGGCTTCCCCTCTCCCTGAAGCCCTTCACTATATAATCCAGACATTTTGGCTCCTCCGGGCATTTTCCCCTTTCCCACTCTCTCCTTCCCCTCCCCTTTTCCTCCCCACTCCTCTCTGGTCTCTCTGTATCTCTCCTTCTCTCTGTCTCTCCTCTCTCTGCCCCTTCCTCTCTCTCCCCCTCCCCCTCCCACGCTGCTTCCAATAAACCTGCACTTAGATAATTTAACTTGGTCTCACCATGAATTAGCTCATCCCGTTTTGACCTGTCATCAAGGCCTTCCAGCTGATGACACATGAGTGCAGGGTCACACTCAGTGTCTACCAAGGAGAGGGCAGGGAGGCGGGCATTTACGCCATCTCACAACTCGAATCTATCTTAAACAAAATGTTTTCAATGAAATGTTTATCTTTAAAGGAGGCTGCAGCATAGGGATGCACACTCAGGTACAAAGCCTCGGCCCTCCTCGGTCCACCTACCCGCTGCTCCTCCACCAGCTCTCACCGCAGCCACAAGCCCACAGCAGAAAAGGGTATTATACACCCACTGTTTTCACCGAAGCAATGGTCTCTGCACGGCTTCTTTACAGTTTTACTTTTAATTATGTGCGTGTACGTGTGTCTGTCTGTGGGTACATGCACATTGAGTGCAGTGCTTGCAGAGTCCAAAAAAGAGCATCAGATCCCCTGGAACTGGAGTTACAGGATGCTGGGAACTGAACTGGGGCACAGTGAAAGGTTGAAGACCACCACTTCACACAGTGACCAGCACGCTACTTCCATACGGCACCAGCACAAGCTGCACGAAGGCAAAAGGAAGAATGAAGTGTGCATGCACACACCTTCCCACAGGTAACAGCGCCTACCTTGATGGGGGGCTTCCGTGTGATGTGGGAGACAAGGAAGTTCATGGCGATATCCTCACAGTTGATGTACTCATCCACCATGTCTCGGATGGCCTGGGGCATCACATAAGAATACAGGTAGGCATAATACTGTCAGGAGAGAAAGGACCACAACACTGTTAGACAGTCTTTCACTCTCAGCAAAAACTATGCATGGCTCTAGGGGCTGTTGGGGTGTGTGCAGGGAGGTGCCCAGGGGTTAGTCACAGTAGGGATGCACTTCTGGCACCGAGGGACCGGAAGCCTGATGAGCATCTTGCAATGTAGCCCTTCACTGTGAGAACACCTCATGTGTCAGCTTGCTATCTTGACAAGAAAAGGGAGGCAAAGCCTTCATACAAGCTACTCCAATGGGTCTAGGAGCTGGCAAAGGCATTCTGTGAGGGGGCAGTGGAAGTAACTAGTGTTTCTGTGGTGCTGGGAATGGAACCCAGGACTCCTGCATACTAGGACAATACTCAGAGAGTATTGTCTCTGAGTATACACAGAGCGGCACACGCCCTCCATCTTCATTCAGAACAGGATTCTTTCTTCAGAGCCCCGCTGAAGACTTCAAAGGGAAAGTACAGGCCAGCGTCACTCAAAAGAAATGTGATACAAGGGCTGGAGCAATGACTCAGTGATTAAAAGTGCTTGCTGTGCAAGGCTAAGGACTAGAGTTGGGGGCCCCAGACCCCTATAGATACCAGATGGGTGTGGTAGCCTATCTGTGATTGCAGCGTGGGAAGGCGGAGAAGACAGGATCTCCAGGGCAAGCCGACTACCAGGACTAGCCATATCTGCAAGCTCTAGGTTTCACTGAGAGCCCGCCTTAATGAGTAAGGTTAGAACAGTGATCCTGGATGACTCCTGACATCCACCTTGGGCCTGCACATACACATACAAACAAAACCTGCATATACAGACACACCACACACACATCTGGAAAAAAATAAAAGTTTTTAAAAATGAATGTAATATGAACCTGTGCAGCATTTTAAGTGTCCTTATAACCATGTTCTTAAACCTCAAGAGCTGGAGCTGTCACGTAGCAACAGAGTACTTTGCATGCTCCAGGTTAACTTGATGCCCAGCACCACCACAGGAGAAAAAGGCCAAGTGGTGCGTGCCTTTAGTCCCAGCACTTGGGCAGCAGAGGCTAGTGGGTCTCTGAGTTCAGGTCAGGGACACCCTAGTCTACAGAGTGAGTTCCAGAACAGCCAGGGTTATGTAAAGAGACCCTGTCTCAAAATAAACAGATAAACAAATAGAAGAATAAGAATAGAATTAATACTTCACTTAACCATTTGCCCAGAACAACTGTATTACCATAAAAACCCAAGGCATTTTGTAATTTCCCTTACGCATACTTTCACACTTTGGTGTTCTCTATACATCCCAGCACACTGCAGCTCTGACCAGGCACTCATTAAGAGCTCAGGAGCCACAAGAGGCCAGTGGTTATGTTGCCAATCAGAAGAAATGCAGGAGGAAGAACCAGAAGCAAAAAGCAGCATATACAGAGGTAACAGGAGAGGCGTGATGGCCGAAGGGACCTGCACTATGGTACACTAATGTGAAACCTAACATAAAACCATAATGTAAAAATATCTTTGGACAAAAGTGGCAGAGGCCTTGGGCAGAGGCCCACAGTGGGCCCTCTGGCATTCAGTTTGAGACAGAGGAGTGCCAGGCTCCTACCTGACTGAGCCACATCTGAGTGGCAATGCTGAGAGTGAACAACATCCAATAGGTCTTTGGTCTTGTGCCCCTAACTGTCCAGAGTGAGAGCCAATGCTCTACAGACAGTGGTCATGCTCTACAGGCAGCCCTGGTCCTGACTTTTTTTCAGTTACTCTATGCATGGTTTTTGTTCTCTTTTCTTGTCTTGAGCTGGGCTCTCACTGCAGGGCCTAGCCTCAGCCTCTTACTTAGCTACAGACCCCTGGGATTCCAGGTGTGAGCCACCATGTTTGGCTTCTCTGAGCATCTCACTCTTTAAAATGCAGGAACAGCTTACCTCTGGCACAGTAGGGCCACAAAAGCAGAAAGGCTGGTGTGACAGCAGCACTCATCCCCACAAAAGCTCAGCCTTGCTAAGCATGGACCACTGAACAGAGTCGGCTCACCTTGTGAAAGAAGGCAGCGCCTGTCAGCACCATGGACAGCTCACAGGAGTAGTTGGAGTTGTAGAGCCAGGACTGGTGAGGGATGTCCCACGCGTGGTACCGGCCCGGGAAACCCACAATGCGATCACGTGCCTCTCTCCACACCCTTGAAAACACACACACTTAAAATGAGTGCTTTTATCTGACCACTTTGACCCTTAAGGACTTTCCCATTTATTTCAGTTTTTTTTTCTCTCTCTCTAGAAGATCAGACCCAAGTAAATCAGATTTAAATAAATGTCATCAATAATCTACATATCACCCACAAGTGTCTGTCTCTCCAGTGTCTAGTGGGAAGGTCACATGGTAAGGAACTCCAGAAGATGGCATGCATAACAATCTCCTAAGAAGACACCTATTCCTGTTTATTTCTTTAAAGGTTTATTTTCAATGCATATGACACCTTAGTTCCCCACAGAATGTATGCAATTTCTCTACCCTGAGGCTCCTGTTCCTCCTGCTTCAAAGGGCACATGTAAAGAAGTGCTCAGACACCACAGGCAATCACTGTGGAGAGACGCACCTCCATTCCCTAGACCGAGTGGGGCCCAGAAAGAAACCCAATGTGTAAAGCTGTCCACAGACCATCAAATGAGGGCATCTGTTAAATGCAAAAGAAAAAAGTAAATTCAAGCCAGCTTTGAGAAATCTGAAAAAACATATTTTCTTATTACTAGAGTGTGTGTGTGCGTGCGAGCATGTACGTATAAAGGTCAGAGGACAACTTCGTGGCACCGGTTTCCCCTTTCTACCTTTATGTGGGTTCTGGGATCAAGCTCAGGTCATGAGGCTCAGGAAAAAGCACTTTTATACCTGCTGAGCCATCTTGCTGCCCCAAGAGAAACTTTTATATCATTTCCAGATTTATAATTAACTCAAAACAAATACAATCAGCTCCCAGTTTCACTGGCTGAAACTGGAGCAAAGCTGGCAAGCCTCTAGAAGGCCTCAGAGACTCCAGCTGCCTGGGACTCCTGAGGTTAAAATACAACCTCCAACCATACCTCTTCCTGACCTCTACTGAAAAGAATCCAAGTCAGCTTCCTAGAGAGACACGTTTCCTGTGGCTTGTCACAGTGCCCTGGGTGCCCAGGTGTGAGTAAAGACAGCGTGGCACACAGACACAGTAGTGTTTTCCTTCAGGTACAAAGAATGAAATCCTGGATGGAGCTGAAGATCACCGTGTGACATAACATAAGCTCGACTCAAAGACAAATACGTTTCCTATCACATCCTGAAGCTAGCAGGGAAGTACATGGAGCAGGGATGCAGGCAGAAAAGGGGGGCAAAGAGGACAGAATGTCACAATGAAGCCCTAGATTCTTACACCTGACATACGGACATGGAAGATGGAAGCTTCTGCTCTTTGTCTGCTTGTTCTCGTCTTGCTAGCACATCCATTCCTTCACTGACATTAGAGCTTACTTCTTCAGGATTCCAGCATATAATGAAGACCAGCTGAGACACCCAGCCTCATGGACTGAACTACTGGCTTCTTGGACCTTCCACTGATAGTCCATTGTTGGACTAGCTGGACCACAGACTGTAAGCCATTCTAATAAACACCATATACATACATACATACATGCATACATGAGAGAGAGACTGGGATTCATTCTATTAGTTCTATTACTCTAGAGAAGCCTGACTAATAAACAATCCAAAAAAAAAAAAAAAATAGGCAAAATATCTAAATCCACACTTCTCCAACAAATGGGCAACTAAATCATTAAACACTTGAAAATATGCTCAACATCATGGTCGTTAGAGAAAACAAACCAAAACCAAAACTGTAAAGGGGAGCTGGAAGATGGCTCAGTCCTTAAAGTCATAGTTGACTTCCGGCCTCCGCACACACATGCACATACCTGCACATACACACACGCAAATCTAGCTTGAACTATATACCACTTCAGGGCCACTTAGGGCAGCCATAAAATAAAAATCAGGAAATGTATGCACTGACAGGGATATGGGTAAAGCTGAGTAGCAGCTCCTCAAAACACCAAACAGTTACCTTCTGGCCCAGTCACCCCACAGCTAGGTATGGAGCGAAGAGAAATGTTCCCGTCCATACATGTATATGAGCAGGCCCAGCACAGCACTGTGTGTCACAGCCAAGAGGAAAAGATTCAAACGTCCATGAGGGAAATTAGGAAAGACAACACAAGCCTAGTGGTGTACACCTTTTTCTGTTTTGGTTTTTCAAGACAAGGTTTCTCTGAGTAGCTGTGGCTGTCCTGGAATTCAACACTGTAGACCAGGCTGGCCCCAAAAAAATCACAGAGATCCGCCTGCCTGTGCCTCCCAATTAAAGGCGTGCAACACCACCAAAAGTTCCAGGCCAATCAAAGCTACATATGAGACTTGGTCTTTAAATAAACAAGAAAAGAAAATGTGGCATGCCCACACAAGGGAATGAAGCTCTGCTATGACATAGACGGCCCTAGAAACATAAGGCTGAGTGAAGAAAGCCAGCCACAGGGCGCCACTCCGTCCACAACAGGTAAATCTAGAGGCCTGAAGTTTAGCGGTTGACTAGAGGACAGAAGACTGCTGATGGATACAGATTCGAGTGCGGGATTAAAGCAGTGTGACACCTTTGTCAGGTGACAATGCTTTCTAAATGGACCATAATGACAGTACAAAAGCCTACCAAACTCTATACCTGGATATGTGAATGGGATTGTATATAAACTACGTTCAACAAATGTCACCAAAACTTAATTTCAAGCAAAACGTTCCCCCTTGGGCATTACCACTGTGGCAAGTCTCAAGCGGAACCTTTGTAATTGACATTATTTTCTGTGTTGGAGTAAGGATTAATGATATATTTTCCACAGTGACCCTTGGCTGCCACCGTAAATACCAACTTCTTGGAAAGGTTCTAAATGCTCACCCTCTGGTGTTTCACTGACCTCTCTGTGGACATTTTACACACTGCCCTGAGCCCACACCACTGATGACCCACTTCATTCTCTTGCACACAGTGTGCCTCACTGGGACATCCAAGCCCCCAGAGCACCTGTGCCACGAATTCAGAGAGCAGCTCAGCGCAGTAGGGGGAGAGACAGAGTTAAACAAGCATGCAAAGTCATCCCAGCTGTCTGCCACTGCTTATAGCTGTGTTCTCTGGTATCTCAACTCACTCCTATCAACCTACAACTACAACTTCCCACAGCAGGCCCTAGGGCAGAACGGGCTCGCCTTGCTCAGTAGTTTGATTAGGCACAGCTCTAGGCTGTGTCTGTGGCTGCTCTGACCTCATAAGGGGACTCACCCCTGGATGGGTTTATAATGTGATGGCTTTATTAGGAGAGGGTGAAAGCCTAGTTGGAAGAGCAAGCTTCCTGGGGGGAGGGTGGAGACATCCTGCCCTGGTCCCTTCCCATAATCATCTATTTCTCTGCTTCCTCTCCAGCATGACGCAGAGAATCTCCTCTCTACACATTCTCATCGCCATGCTGTTATGTCCACATGCATGGAGCCAAGCATCTACCGACAGGAAATACCCAAGTTAAACAAATCTTTCCCTGCATTGCTTCTGTCAGATAATCTGTCACAGAGACAATTAAATTAACTAATTCAAGGGGCGTTAGTAAGAGAAACTCATGTTCTCAGATAGTCCCCAGCACACAGCATGGATTTAACAGATGTTAATGTCACCTCCACTGCCACTGCCGCCACCTCCTTCTCCTCCGCTTTTTCCTGCTGGACCCTTGTTCTCTACCCCACTCACATCCTGAGGGCCATTCCTCAAAAACAGCCTGTTGTTCCTTCCATCCATCTAGGAGTCAGCGCCCAGTCCTACCACACAAACCCAATTTCCTCGCCTCTATTCTCAGCCAAGGAGGTTGGGTTTAAGGATGACAGACCTGCAGGTCCAAGAGAGGCAAGTAACTCCAGCCCAGCCAGTTATAGACTCTCATCTCCTGGCCCCGGAGGAAGAGCCTAGTGGGATCAGAGCAGCTCTGAAGAGGACAAGCAAGAGTCATTCCAAACCACTGAGACCTGGGACCAGCCCCATCCTACAATGCCTAACAGCCTCACAGAGTTTCCCTCTGCTGTCCGCTGAGAAGGTCAGGTTGGCTTTTATAACTTTCACACTAAAGTGCTTGAAAATCAGTGCTTTACCGAAACCCAAACATGATTTCATCATGGCGGAGATGAGCATCGTCATCGATGGACAGTATGGCCTCTGTCTCAATCTCATTCCAGGGCAAGAATCGGTTGTTCAAACTGTTCTTCTCAGTACGAACAACCTGAAAAGCAGGAAGAAAACGTAAGAAATCAATGCTACATCAAAGAATTCTCAAAGCAACATTAGTCTGAGTCTTGCCAACAACTGGCCTGGTAGCCTGCCACCTGCTTGTGACATCTAGTATGTGCCTTTCAATGAAGCTACCTCCCGCTCAGGACACACAGAGGGTCTGGCACTAACATCGGTCATTGTTAATTGGCTTTCTCATGAAACAAACACTGAGGACTGTTTTATGCAATGAACCGCTTAGGAGATTAAACATGTTTCCCAAAAGAATGCAAGGTGGCAGAGCTCACATCCACCCTCAATTGCTCATCAACTTTAAAACAACACTCAGAAATACTTTTAGCTCATTTATGGCTAGCACCACCCCATCCCACCCCCAATTTCCTTTATAAATTTATTTATTTATTTATTATGCATACAATGTTCTGCCTGCATGTACGTCTGCAGGCCAGAAGAGGGCACCAGATCTCATTGTAGATGGTTGTGAGCCACCACGCTGTTGCTGGGGATTGAACTCAGGACCTCTGGAAAAGCAGACAGTGCTCTTAACCTCTGAGCCATTTCTCCATCCACCCACCCCCAATTTTAAAGCCTTTGGGAGATAAACCCTTTGAAAAGAGAAGGTGTTCATGAGTTTACCTTTGTGATGTGTTACCATCTACAGTGCTCACCATGCACACAAAAGCTGTTTCTTTCTTTGGAAGGTGTGTGTGCACAGGGCTGATCTGTTTTGAGGGTCAGGGTAGCATCTGTGTTGGGTCTTCAGAGGGAGTGTAATTTTGGTAGAAGGATGGAAGGAAAGATGTTTCCAGCCAAGAGACTTGACAGGGATCATGGGTGTGTAGAGTTCTAGACCTGGGATACACCTGGTACCTGTGTCAGGAGGAAGATAGCCTCTGTGCAGGGCAGACAGTGTGATGGAAATGAGAGGACTACTCTGGCTTTCTGAGCCCCTGTAATATCCTCTTCGCTTTCAGAGTAAAACGATGCTTCTTCATTAGCTGAACTAATAGCTAAGGCACTTGTGGTTTGAATGAGATGTCCCCACGGGCCTGGTTCCCATCTAGTGGCTGTTTGAAAAGTTTAGGAGGTATGCCTGGCTGGAGGAAGTGTGCCAATGGAGTGTGCTTTAAGAGTTTATGATTTACTCTCTGCTTCCTGCTTATGGGCCAGTGTGTGAGCGCTCAGCTTCTCCCAGCTGCCTTGCCTGCAGTCTCGCTTCCCTGCTGCGACACACTCTTATTCCTCTAAAACCGTAAGCCCAAGTAAGCCCTTCATTGTGTAGGCTGCCTTGGCCATACACAACAACAGAAAAGCACCTCGTATGGTCCTATAAACAGAGCAAGTTACCGAAGTGACCACAGTGACATCACTGCGACTTGCTCCCAGGGACACTGACGGTGGATGGTTTGCCTAAGGGGAGCAGTTAAGATACTGCTGCGTGGGGCACTGCTGTCAGTTCTGGAGAGAACACTACTTGTACTTTGTATATCTGCCTGATTTCGAAGACAGTCTTTGGGTTGGGACTGGCTGATTTCCCAGTCACTTGTCTGCTAAACTGCTGCCGACTTTGCAAATGTCTTCGAACCAAAGCCACCACTGAAAGTGTACTATTAATCCCTGTTTCATCACAGAAAATAATGTCAATTATAAATGTATGTTAAGTAACAGATTAGCTGGAGTGCTACTTTGGACACACCTCAGTTCCACAGGCGTTCCAGCCCCATCACCACAGGAAGGATCTGTAACTACACTACTACAGATGTCAGAGCCCAGCAACACACTCAGAAATCTGCCCTGCCCCAGAATTAAAAAAAAAAAAAGAGAAGAGAGGGGAAGGGAAGGGAGGGGAGGGGAGAAGGGGAAGGGAGAAGGGGAAGAGAGAAGGGGAGGGGAAAGGAGGAGGAGAGAGGAGGAGGAGAGAAGAGAAGAGAAGAGAAGAGAAGAGAAGAGAAGAGAAGAGAAGAGAAGAGAAGAGAAGAG